GAGCAGCCACGTGGAGCTGACGAGTATGGCTGGTCAACTACTTCAGAATGAGCCAGTGGTCTATATAATGATGGAATCGCAGCTCCAGAGCATGAAGATGATGAGCAAAAGCTCCGACCATCTGACATAAAATATAAGGGGGTGGAAGCAAGCCCAAAGGGTAGATCGCGAAAATGGTAAACCACCCTGTGATGGACGAATGAAAGATACGGACGAGACCATGTTGAGACAGGAATGTGTAGATAAGCATTGGCTACATCCATATTGGTCATCCATACACCCTGAGAAAACGCCCACCTTAGGGTGAGAAATGACTCCATGGTAAAACAGGGTTGTTGAAAAAATCAATTGAGGCAGGACAAATCGATAACAGACCTCCAGTCCCTGGTTTTCTTGGGAACAACAAAGAGTCACTGGATCCCGAGGTAGGTATAGGAGACACCGGAGGTTGGGAAAGAAACTAGATCACAAATATTTCTGATAAAACTTGAAGAACTCAGTGATCCTTGATGAAAGGATGCCATTGATGAATAAAAACAACTACCCACCAGGTAGTCACCGATACTGTCGAAAAACAACGAGACGAGGCACCCCAAACAGAAGGGACAGGTAAGGGTTGGGAAGGAGAAGAACGAGAAACTGTAATAGGTGCTATACCGAGTTCTGATTAAAACAAACGGGCAACAAGAGCGGAAAGTGTAGACTGTTGTTGTACTAATGCAACTCGTGACTCCAAGGACTCAGGATCGTGTCAAATACACGTAACGTCCCCAAACTGGGGTAATACATAAACCCCGAAGATAAAATGCTGGTAAACGGACGCGAGTTAAGGTCGTATCACTACCCAGAAGGTCCCAATAACAGAAAAATCACGTATGCAAAGCCAGAGCTGAAGACGATAAACGAGCCAACATGAAAGAAAGGGAGAGGATGTCACCAGAAAACCCACAGGATTTCGGTGGAAAGACTCAGAGAGGAGATGGGTGGTAGAGAGATACCATAAAAGAGTTGTGATGATAAGATGAAGGTGAGAAAATTGGGCATGGGTCACGCTAACAGGAGATTCGGGGACCACCCCCCAAACAGGTAAAACCTAACAATTGGTGGTCTAGAAAAGGACAGTCTGCATGATGAAATGCAAGAGCAAACAGATCTGAAGCCCATGGGCGAAAGGTATGCTAATCCCGTCACTTATTTGTGAGGCAATCTGGTCAGCATGTACACGAAAATCTGGGAAGGGGGAAACCCAAATAGGAATGTGTAGTCAGGAAGAACGTGGTTCATTGGAAATAGGGGGCACGGGATAAATTTCGCATACCTGAGAAACGAAATCTAAAAAGACCATAGTAAGCCTAAATGATTCCTTAGGAGGGGCTTGGGAAGGCACAGCAAAATTAGGAGGTCGAAATAGGTGATTCAAGTCCTCGTCAGCCTGTACAGGTGCAGCATGTTCGGGAGGAAGTGGGGCGAGGTCCAGAGATAGAGGTTGACCCATGTAACGTTCAATCTCCCAGCGAATAAATCTCCCGTCTGGTCACCGCACGCGAGGCCTGTGACATAGTGGTAGTCGCGGGTGTGACCCTCATAGTGGTAACATGAACTTCGGAATTCATATCAAGAAGAAAGAAGACTTCATATCAAGTCAACGAAAATCGAAATAATTAATAATAATGCGACTTTAATAAACTGGGATTAAATTAAAGTGAAAAAAAAACAGTCTTGATAAACTTGGAAGTAATTTAAATGATAACCACTTCGCGACTATACAAAAGTTGAACGAGATACGTAAAACAAACAATGGAGCACGTCCAAGAATAAGTATCTGCCAAACAGAAAGTGATAGTTCGGTAAGAGACGTATAGAGAAAGATTCATGCTTCACGTGAGTATGTCACGCTACTATTGGTGGAGAAGAGATGAAGAAATGATGATTTGCATTAAAGACATGTTAGAATCATTTGATTCCAAAAGAGGGGGCAGAAGGCTTGTGGCATGGATAAAGAAAAAAGTTCGCATACAGAGGGCAGCACTGGACGAGAATAGCTAATCTTGTGAGAGTAGGGAAGTACCCAATGGGAACCACATATGTAACTGTTACACTTCGCCAAGACTATTTTATTGAACACAAGTTTTTTGTTTCTCCTATATTTTAATTCTCAAAAAAAAAAATTTTACAAAACATATTTCCTTTTAACATTGCTAAGGGTTTGGTCATGTGCTTATATTTATTACAACAAAACTTTAATTTTATTCACAAAACCTACAATATAAACTGTGTTTATATTTTTTAAATATTTCAAACATAATCAAGTGTGATTATTCAAAAATTTGCAATAGCTGTAATAAAAGAATTACCTTAAACACATGCTTCGGGAAAAAAAAGTTCCCAAGAGATCGATCTTTCTTAAATATTTATTACAAAACGTTTAAATAAAGCATGAAATATTTTTTTCTCCTTAATGTTTGATTGTTTCTTGTAGTCTGTACTCTCAACATATTAAATGTCAGAGTAGTGAAACTGTATTTGGATGTAAAGTGTTTAACATCCGTTTAATATTAAAGTAGTAAGCGGAAGAATTAAGAATTACAGGCGGAGTAAATTGTAATGAATTTAATGATTGTATGGAATGAACTGCCTGAAGTGTGGAAAGTTAAGCATTTGTTATGAAAGCCTAACAATGAGACCAATAATTTGTATTTCCTTCTTTCTGGATAGATGCAGCCCACAAGAATTTCAAATTCAAGTCATTTTATAATTTATACTTCACCACTTTATGTTAAGCTAAAACTAAAAGGGTATCAACTCTTACTATATCTGAATTATATCTCAATTTTCAAATGATGTACTAAGACAACAGTGTGAAAACCTGTTGGTTTGTTTGTGTGACAAAATTATTTAAACACTGGTGTGAAATCCATACACAGACTGTAACACTGCATTTTTTTTCTTGTAACAAAATTAAAACAACTGTTACAGATTTTGGGTTACTTAAAATCCAAACATTATATAAGCAAGTGTAAAGCAGGCTTAGCATGTTCACATGATTTAAACACACTTCAAATTGTGTAGATATTTGTATAGAAACTTAAGTGAAGAATTCCATCACTAAGTTCAAGAAAATTACACTACAGCAGGATCACAAGACACAATTAAATGAGGAATTCTCTAATGCTTTAAACACTAATTATCAAGACATAAATAAACATCTACATTAAATAGAAAAATGAAGGTTATTTCTTAAGAATGCTCTAACTGTATACATTTTTATGCCATGTTCTTTATTTATACCAATATGAAATATTTCTAGAAGGACAAAAATGTACTAGTCAAGACATTTAGGGTTACAAGATTTGACAATTCTAGCCTCCACCCACGCAGTTCTGTTGGCAACCACAAACATACAAAAGATACTAGATACTAAGTATGTGTTTATTTTAGTCACAAAGCTAACAACTCGCCCAATTGGATCTCAAAATACATAAAACAAATGTAAGCACTTTGCTATATGACAGATATATTAACAGAACATGAAAAAAATAATGTATATGTACGTCTTGTTAAACATCAAGTACATAAAACAAATAAAACATTCATTTGTAACACAAAAGTTGTCATAACTAAGATAATGACACAAAAATATAAGCATAAGTCTGCCAATAACGACTTGGTTGAAACAAGAACACTACAATGCCTTGCATTACATATTGTTACATACTTGTGTGTGTGTGTGTGTGTGTGTGTGTGTGTGTGTGTGTGTGTGTGTGTGTGTGTGT